TCTTCCCCTCAAGGGCGACACGAACGCAAAGAAAGAGGCGTTGCGCGAGTTCATCTGTCTCACGCCGCCAGTATAGAGGCTCCTGTTTGTTGTCGGCAAGACCTAAAGCTTTGAAGTGTAGCCTTTGGTCCCGGAATCCGGATCCTCTACCTTCTATGCGACTTATCATCCGTGGAGGACGCAAAAATGATGATCGCTCGGCTCTGCACCGTCGCGTAAGCAGTGCGTAACGGTTAGCTCACCCACAAACCAACATGTACGTCTGGCGGACGTTAGAATAGATTTACTGCAGGATCGGCTCCTTCGACCAACCACGATTGGCACTCATCGACATCCTACAACATCCAAGTGAACAGCCGAGTAAGCAGCGGTTTTTGTCGCTCACTTACGATGCCCTTGGCGACTTGGGACTGTGCGCCTGCACTTGCAAAGAAGATGGGGGGACGGCCCCCGAGCATAAATTTCAACGTCGTTGAACTTGGCGAGTCACTGTCTGTGGCTGCGTCTTCGAAACCCAGGCCACGAACACGAAGAGTGGAGCAATCCGCATCTTAGTCTGCAAAGTCGCTCTTGGCCATCGCTACCCGCACTTGATAACTCGTGCAGTGTGCACTGCCATCAGCCACGGGCCTCCGTATGCGATGAGCGTATTAAGCATGAGCCGCGAGCCGTTGCGTTCGTAAGTAAGACGTCTGAGTAGATATATAATCTTGAACTTTAGAGTTTCTTTGAGCTTCTCTGTCTTCGAGATCATATCCCTCTCGCCTTCGAGCTTTGTACTATCGCGTCTTTCCCTCTCCCATACCCCGCCGTCCAACGAGAACCCTCTCGTCGGACAAGAGGACCACCTCGTCCGATGTCCGGCGCCGCCACCAGTGTCCGTTGCTGTTGAAAGGGGCTCGAGGGATGTTTATTGGGCGGGCGGAGGAGGTGCGCACGTATCGCGCGCTGATCAATTTGTATTGACGGGCTGCCGGGCGGACGCGGGAGGCCAGACTGGGCTGCACGCATTTTTCCTCGTTATAAAGCCCCCTGCCCCCGTTCTCTTTCAACCTCTCTCCTTGCTGTATCTGGTCGTCCTGGGTTTCTTCCTGCGCTCTGCTCACGGAGGCGCGACCGTGTGCACGATCTGGTCGGCCGCCTCCTCGATGGCGGCCGCGCTACCGTCCCGCTCTCTCGGTTCGCACGTTCACTGGCTACCGGGGCTTGCCTTGCCTTGCCACGCTACTACACCCAAATCTGGCGTTGCCGTAAATCAAAGTCTCTCAGCTGCTGCGAGTCTCCGCGGAGGAGATACTGGGGTGTTCTATGGCACGGCGCCGCGCGGGTGAACGCGTCCAAGCGGCCTGGGACTGCGATAGTGAGCTGCTTTGTATGATATTCGAGGTGCGTTCGGATTTGAGCAGGAATCGCAGGAGCTCGCTAGAGGAAAGGAGGCGCTATTCCGAGCCCGCGCATGTCCGTGCTGGACTTCTCGGAAAGCCTCGCTCTGCCTCGCCTTGCGTGCGCCCGCGCTCGGTTACCTCGACGACGCCCCTCATTTGCTCGTCCGCACACGCACGGGCCTATTCTTGCGCACCAGACGCGCTGCACGGTCTGCACTCGGAGAGAGGCACGGCCGTGAGCGCGGGATTTCGGACGACGCGCGCGGGACCGTGGGCTTTATCTATTGCGCCGCCCTGTGGCTACATCAGTCTGCCCCCCAACGGCTTTCGCTGCTTGTTTTAGCTTCCGCCACCATCCGTCCGTTCTGCGTCCTCCCGCTCCCGTCCTCGTTCCTCTCTCGCCGTTCTCGTTCTTGATCCTCGCACGTCTTGACGATCTGCGATTGCCTGATCCGGTTTCGGTCCTCTGCTCTCCATTTAAGGCGACGTCTACTCGTTAATCGACGTCCAATTTCGACGCGACTCCCCATTCACATCCTTTCGCCTTTGCGACACTCTTCGTCACCATGCCTCAGGACTACATCCTCGCGCGCCTGCTCTCGAACAACCACCAGTGGGCGGAGGACGTCGAGAAGGCTGAGCCCGGGTTTTTCGCCCAGACTGCCAAGGGGCAGGCTCCCAAGGTCAGTGTCGCTTACTTTTCGCGTACGTAGAGCGCCTCTTGGCGCTATCCAATTCTCTCTCACCACTTTGCGAAGTGTGGTGTTGGCGACTCGGCGTCGGTGGTCGCAGCTCTTGTGTTGTTCCAAGCGGGTCGGAGCAGCTGTTGGCGGTGCAGGATGTCATCGCTGGCAGGCCGGCGCTACTCGGTACGGCGCAATAGAACGAACGACTTGGATCGTCGTGCCGCTAATCCTGGCAGGGCAACATGTGCTCCTCTCCGTATGTAAGAACGGGTCTCGACGTGGTCCGTTTACACACGGCGACGTTGAATGAACAGCGCGCCCCTCCGCCCGCTACGTTTTGTGAGCACCCCACATCCTGGAGCTCAGGGCCGCCGAGACGTGCGGCCCAATGGCAGGTGTACGGACCGACTTTGCGTGGCTTCTGTGTGGTGCTAGAGCGTTGGACGTGGCTTCTGACAGTGTTCCGTCGTCAGGTGCTCTACATTGGCTGCTCTGATTCCCGCGTGCCCGAGTCCGTCGTGACGGCTTCGAAACCGGGCGACATCTTCGTGCACCGTAACATCGCCAAGTGAGTGTCGTCTCATCTGTCCGTCTGCAACGCACCTCTCATTGCAAGCGCCTCCAGCCAATTCCACCCCAACGACGAGAGCGCGCTGTCGGTACTCACCTATGCTGTCGCCCACGTCGGCGTCCAGCACGTCATCCTCGTCGGCCACACCAACTGTGGCGGCGCCCAAGCGTGCCACGCGGCTGCGCATTCTCCCTCTGACGCGCACGCATCGGACGATGCGCTCGGCCGCTGGCTCGCGCCCTTGACGGAGATCGCGAAGGAGCACACTGATCTCACCGCGCTCGTGGAGGCGAACGTGCGCGCCCAGGTGGCGAACATCGTGCAGACGGACGTGATCAAGGCTGCGTGGGCGCAGGGGAAGGATGTGGAGGTGCACGGATGGGTGTACGAACTCGAGACAGGCCGCCTACGCGACCTTGGTATCTCGGTGGGCAAGGCGGGCGTCGTTTGAATAACACGCTGCGTTAAAGCGCGGAATTTGGTTGTACAATACACATGATCTAACTATTCGCTTGGTTGGTGCTAAACATGGTATACACATCTATCATGGAGGGCGGACATAGTAATTCAAGGTAGGGTGCGCTATGAGGTAGAGGGGTAAAAGTATGGGTGTCCTAGTGTTTGTTCTGCCGTCAGTCGACGAACGGGATCGATCTCTAGAAGTTGCATAAGTAGATCCATGGAGTCTAGAAGAACATACAATGTGAGTTGTCGTGGACGAATCTGCTGGTCCGCACGTACCCTAATCTGCTAGAGACCTTGCTATCATTGTATTAGAACTTAGGTGAGCGAGAGAATTCCTGATGCTGGTATGACGCTCCGAGAGAGGTTCGTTGCCCTCAGTCACAGGGAACAACATCTCTCCTGTATGCATTTCCGCAAAAATACAGCCCGACGACCATACGTCGACTTTTGCGTCGTACTGGATCTGCTTTGACTGCACCCTTTCGGGAGCGTCCTCGTTCGGTGGCAGTTCGAGAGCTCGGTACGGCAATGTGGTGACCTAATAACAATAAAATTCTCCGACGATTAGAACTAAACTTCTAGACCATGCCATGTAGCTTGCTATACCGGAACGCTCAAACGTACCTCGCGTGGGTATTCTTCAGGACCTTTCGCTTCGATAAGCTGCGCCATACCCCAGTCGGTTATCTTCAAAATCAGAGAGGGGCCTGTGGTGTCTATAAGCAGGTTCTCCGGCTTCAAATCCCGGTGCATGATGTTCCTGCTGTGGCAAAAGGCTTCGCCTTCCAACACTTGCTGCATCAGGGACTGTATATCAGCCAGGTCAAGAAAACAGCTGCTTATGGAGGCTTTAATTTCTAAAGCACGGCGCCGCTGCATGTAATCGCGCAGGCTTATCCCCCCGTACTCCAATACTAAGACCACAGTGCGTAAGGCCCCGTCCAGAATGATTGGATCGTGCCCATAGAAGGCGACAATGTTGTTGCACTTGGCGTCTTGCTGTAGTGCCTTATAGGTCATAACCTCATAGGCTGCGGATTTTGCAACGATGGATCCCCCCTTCGAGCCGTCATTGATCATTACTTTGGGAGCGACCACGTTGCTAGAACTCGGACATCTTCCCTACGATAAGGCTTCAGTATTTGTCTCTAGCCCCCCTAAAAAGTTGAACAGGCTTGAGCTCGCACCTTGTACACCCGAGAATACGAGCCTTGGCCTGAATAGGTCAAGATACTTTCAACAATGAGTAGTAAACGTTCAAATAGCACCTATGCGTACAACCTGGAAGACTCAAGCGTTGAGTATTTCCGACATCGACTCGTTGGAGTCTGGAGAGTAAAGTGGAACACGAACCGGTTTGTAAGCCTTGAGTAACGTACTTATAATCCTCTCGTCAGCCTCTTCTTCTGATACAACTGGAAGCGTTTGGGGACTCGATGTGCTGCGCCCCGACATGATCCTCGAAGCAGATGGATATAACGAAGTTGTGGTAAGAGGCCGAAACACTAACGCCGTAGCGGTGGTTGTTGAAGAGGGTCGCCGAGTTCTTAGCAGGCACTCAGCACTAGTAAACTAGTACTTGTAGACCGCTCCTGGCTCTCCATCCGGAATAAATACCGATACTGTCTCTGCATGAATAGTAATATGCGTTGCCTTGAAGACGACCTCAATAACGTTGCTCTCGCTTGGGCACAAAACACGTACATGTCGATGCGCAGATTGAATTGCTAGCTCAAACAAAGAGTAACTAAACATAACGTCTCCATCTAGTATAGCATCAGAATCTATGGTAACCGTTGTGGTTACTTCCCCACATACGGGTGTTCAATAGAATGAATTACTGCCGGCCGCGGGCAACCACCCTCCCTGGGTCTACCCCAAGTAAAAGGTCTTCGACACCAGCAGGATTCGAACCTGCGCTCCCAAAGGGAAACAGATACCAAAGGTCCAACCTATAGGCACATTCTAATCTGTCGCCGTAACCACTTGGCTATGATGTCGGTGATCCGGACATATTGCGGCGATTATCGAGTAACCAAATGCGGCCATACTTACATCTACTTACACTGAAGTTGTCACGGTATTGAAGTACCTCTCCGAGTCTGTCATAGCCCACAACCGTCAGTACCGTAACTGCACGCATTACCCGGGTCGAGCTCAACGCATCACCCGATATTCACAACGACGCGCAGACACGGAATGTACAGTACTTACACCAACCGCGAGCGGTGATCCATATACCCACCGCTTCGTGACTCCTGAGGCCGTAGTGCAGCAACAGCGATTTAGCAAATCGCAGCTTGAAGTGAACGGAACCAAGGAGCATCGAAATGTGTACTACGGGTACATGCGGAAGCTTCACGACAACAGACAACAGACAGGGTACTTACTAGACGTAATGAGCGAAAGCCTATGTAAATTGGTACAGCGTAGGGGTGTAAGTAACGGCAGGCACAGTGAGTGAGTATGGTACTTGGAGCGGAACGCGGGGAGACCCGAGGGTACAAAACAGCCGATACTCAGGCTTCATGCTGGAGGGAGGGAGGGTGAGGGTGAGGGTGAGGGTGAACGCAGAGATGGAGAAGACACAGATCGGAAACGGGTCCGTTAAGAGAGGCGCAAGATAGTGTAAAGCATAACGTACTGCGTAGATGCCCCCCGCCGCCGCCGACGGCGACGGCAACGACAGCAAAGACAAAAGAAGGAAGAAAAGAGTGCACTGAGAATCGCGCTCGCCAAAGCCTACTCTCAGCTCACCAACTCCCCGTGCCCAGGCCCGCCCCACACCCACACCCCTCGCTCGTCCTCGACGCCCATGCCCATACCCATGCCCATGCCCCTGCCTGTCCCCGTCCCCATCCCACCCACAGCCCCGCCCACGTCCCCAGCCCCGCCCACACTGTCCCGCGCCGCTCCCCCGGACCCGCGCCGACTCTCCCGCGCCGCGTGCACCATGCGCGTATACCGCCGCCCGTCGTGCATCATCGACATCGACGGCAGCACGGGAGGCTGGATCAGCGGCAGCGACGGCAACGGCAACGGCAACGGCAACACCGGCGTCGGAACGGTCGGTAGGGACATCCGCCCGCCCTCGCGCTCCTCCGCGTGCGACTCCGAGAACGCGCTGGGCAGCCGCGGGCGCGACGGGCGCGGGAAGGCGGTCGTTGTGTACGACGGGGACGGGCATGGCGATGGTATCCGTGACGGAGACGGGGACGGGGACGAGGACCAAGATGGGGAGCGGGAGGGGGAGAAGGAGAAGGAGGGGGAAGGCGAAGGCGAAGGCGACGCAGGTAAGGGTAGAGATAGAGACAAAGAGAGCGAGCACGAGCGCGCTGTGTAGGCGTCGGAAAGCGAGCCCGCGGGAGACCGGCCCTCGGCCTGGGGGCCGCCCTCTGAGTAGGACGCGAAGCGGAGCGGGGAGAGCGCGCGGTCTGGCGGGGACGCGGGGTCGTGCGTGCCCGATGAGCCCAGGGACAGTGCCAGGATCCTGCTCCTCAGCGCCTCTTCGTCTCCCGCGCGGGGCGGGACGCACGAGTGCACGAGCGGCGTGAGCGGGTCCAGAGGGCGCCCGAAAGACGTCGCAGATCGAGCCGGATACGCCTCCGCTTTCGCCGAAGCAAGCAGGGGCGGCAGGGACAACGACCCAGGCCCAGGAGTGACCGCAGTGGCAGTAGCCGAAGACGCAGAAGACGCGAACGAGTACGTGCGCATACCGACGCCTCCCCCAACGCCTCCGCCTCCGCCCAGCGGGGTCTCGACGACGCCGTAGTGCGGGCACGCGTCGGGGTGCGTCATCCGCGGCGCGCGGAGCGTCGACGCCGGGCTCGCGCGCGGAGTCGCCGTCCATTCCCTCTCCGAATGGGTCGGGGCGGGGGCGGGGGCGGGGGCGAGCTGGAGGGATGACGACGAAGCGGGGAAGGGGAAGGGAAAGGGGAGCGGGCGTTTCTGGTCGCGCGCGGGGGCGGGGAGGAGCGTCGGGAGCGCGCAGGCGGGCGCGGGCGCGTCGGGGTGGTCGTGCCAGGCGGGGTGGAGGACGCTGCGTGCGTTGAGCCTGTGGGGTGTACGTGCGTCAGTGGGGATGATGAGTCCGGTGCTTGATGTCAGCGGGGAAGCGGGGAAGCCGGAAAAAGGAACTGGAGGCATGGAGGGAGAGTGAGAGGGAAAGAGAAAGGAGCAAAAGCGAAAGCAAAGGCAAAGCACAGCAGGAAACAAAAAGGAGAGAAAGGGGACGCACATCGCGAGGTACGAGTTGATGTACACTGTCAAAACGAGTACCGCATTGAGGTGAGGCGGGGTGAGGCGGGTCAGTAAGGACGAACGAGCGAGCGGAGACGCGCGATCATGCCCAGCGGCAAATAAAAAAGAAGAGAGGAGGGGGGCGTACGTTTGATGACGAGAAACTCGATCGCGATCGGGATGAACGTCGTCGGAAACGCGACCATCTGGCGCCGGCGCCGCAAGGAGGAGGAGAGGGGGGGGGTGAGCGGAGTGTCCTGCGCACTACATACGGAGGGAGGCGGGAGGGGGGGACGTACCGTGGAGATGGTGATGAGCGAGCAGAAGCTGCGTCCGTGCCGCGTCATGAGCGCTATCCAGAGGCGAGAGGCGAAGGCGAAGGCGAACGAGAGAGAGGAAGGGGAGAGGAGGGGGAGGACGCACCTCGTTATGACGCCCGTGTTGAGGGTGTACATCATGAACGTCTTCGCCGGGCCGTTCATCCTGCGGAACCCGCGTGGGGGGGAGAGAAGTTCAGCTCCGTCCAAAAAGGTTTGAGCGGCCCGGACGACCTGGGAGACGTACGCTGTACTAGACCGCGGCCGACACCGCGCGAGGAAGTAGCACAGCGAGCCGGCGATGACCACGTCGATGGCGGTGGAGGCGCCTAGGGGGACGAAGGTGGCCCACTGGCGTGGGACGCGGGGTCAGGGGTCAGGGCGCGGTTTTTGGGGAAAGGAAGGGGGACGGGACGGGACGCACGGGGGCGCGGGAGAGGTCGCCAAACGTGTCGAGTTTGAAGCTATGCCGGGGGCATGAAGTTATTCGAGGGTGTACGCGCTGTCTCTGGGACAACTCACGTTACGATGCACATTACTAGACGGAAGCAGGGTCAGATGATTTGCAAGAGCTTGCAAGGGGTTTTTACGCACCTATACCAAGTGCTGACCGGAAACACAGAATTGTCAGCCAGTTAGACGCGTCTACGGCGAAAACGTGGCGTACCGTAGCCCACAACCACCAAAACGCTCTGCAAAACCATCAGCACCACATCAGCGGCTAAAGCGTAGAAGAACCCCGCTCACAGCAAGCCACGGCGCGATGCGTCGCATCACCCACCGCGTCGCGCTCGCGCGCACCGTCATCTTCTGGCGGCTCCACCGGCGCGCCTCCTTGCCGAACGGCTCGACGTGGTCGTCTATCGCCAGCACTGCGCGCACAAAAACGAAAACGAAAACCGAAATGCGAAACGCGAACGCGAACGAGGAAGGGAAACGAAACCGGTCAGTTTTGGGGGGTGCGTGCCTCGAAGCGAGGGAAAAGGGACGTGTCACGTACGCGTCCACAGGCGCGACGTGTAGAGCCTGCGAAAGGCAAGGTTCGTGAGCACGGCACGACACGAGACGCGGCACGCCACGATGCAAGGAGTATGAACGGATGAACGGATGAACGGGCGGACGCGTGCATGAATGTACGACTCGGACACCGGAGTCCGACGCGCCCTGCCCGGGCTCCTCGGTGCGAGACATGCAGGGACGCGCTCAGCTGGCCGCAGGGAGACGGACTCGGTCCTCCTCCTTCGGCGACCCCCAGTGGGCCCGGCCTCGACATCTCGATTCGACGACTCGGACGGAGAGGTGAGACCACTCACGTGTGCACCGAGGCGACGACGAGTGCCTGATAGTGAGCGGTGAGAAGACGTCAGCGTGAGCCGCGGCCGGTTTGGACCGGGGCGAGCATAACGATATGACACAAGCTGAAGCACGCACGTCGACCACAATCCGGAGCTGCGGTGGGTGGTAAGCGCTCAGCGCTGAACCGTGTATGGACGATGCGGCGCGGAGGGCAGGACGCACCTTGAAGCTCCAGACGATCTGGGAGAGGGCGTCGGGCCTGTCGTAGTCGGTGACGAGGTAGTGGTAGACGAAGTGCGCGCTGAGGGAGAGATGGAGCGCGTCGAGGAACCTAGAGAATAGCAACATTGAGTGCCACACCCGTACTCACCGCGAGTCGGACTAGGACGGGCGGGCGTACCAGAGCCAGCAGACGGAGAGTTTTCTCCACGCCCTGTCCGAGGCGTATTGTTGAAAGTAAACGAAGGTCTGGAGCATGGTGACCCCGAAGAGTCTGTAGGAGGACGAACGAGTGAGTGTCTGAGGTGAAGGAGTCGGGTGATTGGAACTTTGCGTACACGGCGGATAAGAGGACGCCGACGAATAAAGCGCCGTAGGTGGGGTTAAGGCCGGACATGTCTCACGGGGGTCGCCAGGGTGTGCGGCGAGGACGAGGACGACGGAGGGCAGAGGCAAAAGAGGGAGCGGGAGGGAGAAGAAGGGAGAGGAGAGGAGAGGAACAAGAGGAACGAGCAAAGGGGGGGGGTGGGCGAGAGGGCAAGGGCAAGCGAGACATGGGGACGAGGATCGGGGAGCTCGTGGCGGGGAAAGAGGCTCGCGGCGGGACGGGCGACGGGCGACGCGCTCAGCACGAGCCGCCCCCCTCCTCGGCCTCGGCGGACGGCGCGGCGGAGCGGGAAAGGGAGCGAGCCCCCCGCACTCGGCCCAAATTGCGCGCACGTCGCCTGCCGCTGACAGGCCCTGACTTGCCCCGCCGAGCCTCCTCCATGCTTCTCCCCCAAAACAGCTCCCTCCCAGCCTTCGCCCCTCGCCTTCCTCCCGTGGCTGCCAGCTGCCGTCGTGGCTCGCGGTGCGCACCTCTCCCTCGAGTCCGTGGCTGCCGCACGCCATCAGATCTCTCGCCCACCCCGCGGAGTGCCGCCGCCGCG